ACTCTGGAAGTATCCATATGCCTCCGGGATCCTTTTAAAAAAATAATAATAAGGAAGCAAGATTTCATGCATTAAACAGGAGTCTTCTCCTTTTACAAGATGACACGGAGAGAAGAGACATCTTCTAAGCTACAGTGTTACCTACAAAGTGACGGGCTAGTATATAATATATTTTTTCTTTATGTAAGCTTCACACACAACTCTAAAAAGCAAATCTAGAAATCATCTTCACACAGCTGAAGAAATTAAGGCTCTGAGAGGGTAAGAAACTTGGCTCTCGTTGCACTAGCTTTCTCTTACAGGCCATGAATTCACTGGACAGTATTTACTGAGTTCCTACTACCCCCGGTACTATTTTAGACACTACAGACAAAACAAGACAAAACAACAGCATTCTCAATCCTGTGTCTGACCTTCTGATGTTTAGAGTTTAGTGAGGAGAAATTAGCCATCATGAATCTACTTAAAGAAGAAAAATGAGGCAATAAGAAGGAGCAGGAAAAGAAGAAAAATGGTAAAATTAATGCACCATATAAACAGGGCCACCAGCTTTAACAAATAAAAATACAGAATGTCCCTATGAATTCAAAGTTCAGATAAACAAATGTTTTAATCTTAGTATGTCTGCTATTGATGAATGCTGGTGCTTCTGCTGCCTCACCCAATTGATGTTTGAAATTAATCCCCAAAATGATGGTATTAAGAGGTTGGGCCTTTGGGGAAGTAATTAAGGCATGAGGGCACCACCCTTGTGAATAGGATTAGTACCCTGTAAAAGAAGTTGTAGGAAACTGCCCTGTTCCATCTGCCATGTGCGGACATCTGTGAGGAACAAGCCCTTAGCAGACATGGCCCCTGCTGACGCCTTGATTCCCCCCTTCCAGAACCATGAACAATGCATTTCTATTGTCCATAAATGACTTGGTCTAAACTATCTTGTCACAGCAGCTTGAAGGTACTAGGATAATGTCCCACGCAATACTTGGGGTATACTTACAAGGGGTGATCAAAATATACACTGCATGTTTTAATTTATAAAAATTACTACAGTAAAGGATATATTGCCATTAATCTCTTCAAATCATTCTTCCACTTTTGTATGTCCTTATCCACCAGATCTGGCACCATGTGACTTCTGGTTCTTCGCTAAAGTCATGATGATCATAAAAGATAAACATTTTGAATCAATTCAGGACATGAAGGCAGCCACAATACTGCAACTAAAGGGAAAGAGGACTTCCAGAACTGCTTCAGAGCGGTGAGAACAATGGGATGAGTGCATTTGAAATGAAGGGGAGTATTCTGAATGGGATTAATGGCAATGTGTCCTTCCCTGCAATAAATTTTTAAAATTTAAAGAGTCGCCGTATTTTTTACCACATCTCACATGCTAAAAATGTTTTATTGTTTATCTGAATTCAAATTTAGCTGATTGTATTGTATTTTCTCTAAAAACATTATATGACAAAGTACTCTTTTCTAGAAGAGGTAACCTAAACGTCACAACAGAGGTTTGAAGACTTCTCCAGAAAGGGAAAATTGGACCAAAATATGTAGAATACAGGGAGTCAACAGCCTGGAGGGAGGCTGGGGCAGGCGGGTGAAAGCTGACGTTTGGGGGCTACAGGTAGGGAAGTGGCTGGCGGATATTGTAAAATAAGGCCACAGCAGTGACCAGGGTCTTGAAAACCATGCTAAGGTTTCTCAACTGTTATTCCTCTGGAGTAACTTGTCATTAAAATGTTTCTTCTGCGTGTCTTTCACTTCTTTGATAAAATCTATATGACACCTTTCCTATCTTACCTTCTCACATTTACCAAAGAAGTTAGTCATCTTTAAGTTTATCTTCCAGCTAGAATATGATTCTCCTGCTTAATAAATATTTAACAGAAAACATAGCTTAGAAAGTTCACATGTTCTGGGTCTTATGGCGCTGTCTAGTTCAACTACCCCTGCCTGGGTAGATAACATCCAGCCTGCTTGGAAGAGCTTGATAACAAGCACCTTCTGGGGCCAAACAAGGGACAATTAACTCGAATGTGTAGGATGGGGCTCCGGAAAAGCTCCAGTTTATTTAGCTATTCTACAATACTACTTCATAGGATTTTCAAATAGTAGTACATGACAAGTGGAAGCACTTGGTCTGATTTGTCAAAACTCTTACGGTGCTCTTGAACTGTCAGAGGTCCCAAGGTTGTCAGAAGGCTGAAGTCTATCATCACAGTGTCCATCTAACCATCCATATTACATACTGTTTGCTGGGAAGAAGTAGAGCATGTCTGCTGTGCTTTAGTCAGCAGGAGCTTATGGTATGCTGAAGTCATTGTTCTCAGATTTGGCCCTTTAAAAATGTTTTAATTCATAAAGTCTAAAAGTACATAAAATTTTCATGTTTTGAAAACTGCTTTAATTAGAAGTTACATTATTTATACTCCTCATGGCACAATACAAAATTTAACAGGCCATTTACAAAAACAGAGATTGTAGCTCCTTGGAAAATTTCAACATGAGTTAATGAAAACTACTTATATGTGTGAACCAAGTTTGAGTTTAAAATATAACTCATCCTATATTCCTCCCTTTCTGACATGAAAGAATATCAGAACTGGAAATGACCAAGCCATCCAATCCACCCCAGTCCATTCAGTCACAACAGTTGAAGCCATATGACACAACTACAGCTGACCAGCCAGGGTTCCAAGACTATGCTTGTGATCAAATTAAATGGTGTCTGTATATCTTATAAAGACACGTTTCTAGAAAGAGTTAAAGTAGTAACTCCACCCCACTGTCATTCTTAGCTGTTTCAAACAAAGAAACTCCTAATTCAGTCTACTCCAACATTTCACACTAGTTGCTCAATTGTGAAGCCATTAAAAAGAGCAAAACACAAACAAAACCAACTAGCAATGTATACAGAAGTGCATGTAGATAGGAGCTGTCTCTCATAGGTTTACAAACAGACCTAAATGATGACTTCCGGCTTCAGTGGCTAATGACACAGGTGGTTTGAACCTGAGTCTAACAGAAACCTCAGCAACACAGAACCAAGAAGCCCACTGGGGCACTGCAGCTCCCGAATACAGCTGCACAGACTGAAAATGGCGTTTTCACTTTCACTACCACAGAAATTTACCTTGAGGAATGGGAAGAGGAATAGCAACAGAAAGAGCTAGTTAAGAAAGATTCTTGACAAATCAGGTTTTTTATTCATAAAACATATCATCAAGTTTGAGAATAAGAGCTAATATTTCCAAAGATAAGAAATGGAGCTTCAGTACTTGCTATCACATGACAGCACATGAAGCCCTTTCTGTCATCTCCTTGGGGTTGGGAATTACATCCCGTTCTCTTCCACACTTAGGGAATATGATAGCGGTAATAAGCAGAATTTTTACCTAAAAGCTCTTAGGCTAGTCTGTTGCTCAGACCAGAGAAGCTATTTTCATTGTCAGTGAGTCATGAAAAATAAATTTGATTTCTCCACTACATCACCAAAAACACTCGTGATCCGGAGCTGTTTTTTGTTGTTGTTTTTTCTTTCTTTCTCCAGACATCAGCTAATGGCATTTGATTTTATGTTAGTGTCAGGAAAAGTCTATCGTCTGCATTTGTTGGCACTGACCATCAAAGGGGCAGTGCGGGGAGAAAACTTTATAATTTTTAAAGGTGAAATTCTTTTCTTGTGCCTTAAAGGGATCTATTTCATGATATTTTCCATTCATAGAGACTCTGCATTTCCAAAGCTCTCTGAGAATGTCTCTTTTGTCCTCAGCACAACTCTGTAAGATAAATAAGGGCTGGAGTGGGATTTTTTTCACATTTCTCAAAGGTGCAAGATGAACAGGAAGGGGCACTTGCCCAGGGCGGCATAACAAAATATTTGGGGGCCTGGGAAAAAGGGTCTTCATGTCTGGGTTCCTTGATAGCTGCTTGTCTCCCTTCCTCTCCTTCCTTCATCCCTCCCTCACCCCTTTCCACTCTTCTCCTGCAGACTACAGATCTAGGCTCATTCACTGAAGCCAAAGGAAAAGCCTTTGTGGTTGGATTTCCAGGAAGCAGCTTTAAAAAGAAGACTGCAAGGTGGATCGGGTTTATTTTTCCATCAGGGAATGAGATCGGTACAGTTTAACATGCGTCTATGTGATAAAAGACGCTGCGGCTCATCCCTAAGTCATTCTCAAACCCGATTTAGAGGCCTCCAGACCAAAATCCTAAAGAATGGTGAAGCGATGGATTGGCAGTGCAGAATCTGACGAACCTCAACGCGGGAGCGTTCACATGAAAACTTGCCAGGAGCATGAGGTCTCTTGGAACTTGCTACTGAAAACCAAGTGGATTCTGGAGAGATCAACGCGCCTTTCTCCTCCTGGATTAAGGAGAAGAATTAAACTGAAACTACTTTCTCGCGCTGCCAATCAGTTAAGTATGAAGGGAGTCAGTCCAAGGAAAAGACATCAGCAGGGCGTCCCTGTCGTGGGGCCCTGAAAGACGCCCGTCTCTTGGGTCCCCCGGGGAGCGCCCGATCGCTGCAGCGCCCTGCCGTCACTGCGGCACTGCGGAGTCTCCAGCCCGCCCGCAGCAGCCCCGGCCGGCGGGGCT